ACAGCAGTAGTAATAGCAGTAGAATAGTAGTCGTGGTGGTGGTGGCAGTAGTAGTAGTCGTCGTCGTGGTGGTGGTGGTAGTAGTAGTAGTAGGAGGAGGAGGAGTAGTAGTAGTAGGAGGAGTAGTAGTAGTAGTAGTCGTCGTCGTCGTCGTAGTAGTAGTAGTAGTAGTAGCAGGAGGAGGAGGAGGAGGAGTAGTAGGAGGAGGAGTAGTAGTAGGAGGAGTAGTAGTACCCCTTCTTTTTGGGCTCAGCGCCATCGGCTCCGACACGGGGCGCTGCATGCGAGCCTCGGTGCGTCGCAAGGCAAGAAGAGGGGAGAGAAAGAGAGAGAGCGAGAGAGCGAGAGAGAGATACAGAGTTCAGCTTGCACTCTGTATTTCTCTCAGCCCCTGTCTGCGAAGTGTAGTCATCAGCTCACGTCGCCGACCTTCAAGCAAGAGCTGTCACCCGCTTTTTCTTTCTTTCGTGAGGGCTATTGGTGGGGGAAGCTCTCTCTCTCTCTCTCTATCGTATATGAGCTCGAAGTTGCACAGCGCTTGTGTGTGACAGTGAGGGCTGCGGTCTTGGATTCATCATGTGATGCCATCTCGGACCGCAGGCGTCACGTCTACGACCCTGACCCTCAAGCAGACGCCAAGCGATCGGTTTTCAAGATCGGATGTGTCATTGGCTCAAGCAGCCGATGCTGGTGCGACAGACATGACGGACTTGTGTTTGGCTCTATGCACTTATTGGACGCTTCCTGCCATCTGTCCACATTCGTGCAACCCCCCGGCCCTATCTAGACCATGATGCTCTCGGCATGAGGGCAACTGCGGATGAGCCCATGGCCTGCGAGCAACTTTCCCAGATCAGCAGAGGCTCTGCCGCCACCGCTGCTGTGGATAAGCTCCTAAAGCAGAGCAGAGCGTGGACAAGCGACAAGCGGAAGGCTTTCCATGTCTTCGGCTGGGCCTTGACGAGCCTCCGAAGCTCCAGGTCCACTTCATGCCAGCTGAAGACCTCTACAGGAGCACTCCGGAAAAAAAACCGGGGAAGTCTCGGGCCGTATCTTCGCATCGAAGCCTCCACATCCTCCGGGCCCTGAACTGAGCCTGGAGTGGCGACCAGGGTGTCATGTGGCCAACGAACGGATCAAAGACACCATTGCTGCATCTTGGTTCCGAGCCCTTTGGAGGCTCAACTTTGACACCTTCCGAAAGCCAAGACCATTCGACGTCCTGCCTACTCGACCTTGGCACCACCTTGTGGATCAGAAATGCCTCGTGGGGCCGTGCGCCGCTTGCCTGCAGCGATGTCGGCGGACGCTCACGCGACTCCGCCGACTCTCATATGTAGCCCGCAATGCTGTGTAAGGAGCATACCGACTAGCGAGAAGATGCGGTCAACGATCTTGCGCCCCACCTTGCTGTTAATGACCTCCAGGCCGTCATCACAACGTAGGACCGTAGGATGCACACGGCACGGCTCACAAACCTCTGGATGCCACTGGAGTCCATAGACATGATCCTCCACGTGCTCCATCGCCATCACCTCGACTCAGGGAAGCCCAGAAGAAATCGTCGTGATAAAGCTGTCTGGAACATACCGAAGAACGGCAATAGCTGTCAGGACTACTCAGAACGATTTCTGGGTTGCCGGAATGCTTAGACTCAATCTGGCTTCGGACAGTCTGAGCTGACGACTCTGTTGGCAGAGTCTACGGCCGTCCTTGGTGCTCGCCGGTACTCGCCTAGCCCTGCAGAAAACCTGCTATTGAAGATGCGCCCAGAACGTGCTGCCTACACCTCCCTACGACGGCCTTTATGTAAATCCTCTTTGCCAAACACTCACCGAGCCTCGCGAGATCTGCGCTCCTTATCGGGGCCCTTGAGTCTTCGAGTTGATCTTCGAGGTGGAGGTTGGGAGCGTACTTGACAGCTTCACCATTTCAACCAAGTAATGTGGATACAGGTTGGTACGAAAAGACTCTCACCGTTGCTGCCGCCAATGATACCGGTGATGCCGGACCACAAGATCTTATTGTCATGAAGCGTCCTGCTGTTATGGCTCGAAGTCCTGATATTTCGCAGTTTTCGTCGTTGGATCTGCCTTCTTGTTGCCTTGTTGCCATAGCTTTTGCGATCATTCTGTTGAGTTTTCATCCACACACCTAAGCCCCCGAGCAGATGGCCCTGCTTTGCAGTTCCTGCTTGACTAGAAACAGTATCGCACGGAATGCCAGAGACACCTCTGAGAATGCAAACTGCCAGAAGATGGGCAGCAAGCACAGAAAAGTCTGGTGGCAGCTCATCCACGAAGATGAAGTTTGAAGCCTGTCCCATGCTTCAAAGGGCCGGGGTAGCCGGTGACCTTCACTACGGGCACCCCACCCACTGAGGGAACTTCGAGGCAAGGCCATCTAACCTGGCCATACCAAAATTGAAATCTACGTGGTGTGCTTCGGAGTCCACTTAGCAAGCTCCAGAGCAGAGCTCTTCTTTTCAACCCGCCCATCGCGTCGTAAACCTCCGCTGCATGTTGCATGCTAGTGGAGCCTCACGAAGATCTTGCATAGTGGCTGTGTTAGAGTTGTGCCTCCTTCCGGCCAAATCAGCACAGGCGCGTCACCGAAGTCCGAGGCAGAAGCCGATTCCTGTCACGATCAACACGGCTGGGACTGGCCAGCCGCCAGCATTCCATCATCTTCCGGTTGCACTCCGAGGGGACCCCTGTCCGCAAGGTGTATCACTGTGTCGTCGCTACGCAGATCATCTCAATGGAGACTTCCGCCTGCAGTCTGCGACCTTCTTCGTAGAGAACCCATGACGATACTGGGAAGTCGTGGAAGGTGTGCATCATCCGATAGCGAACGGATCTCAGCAGCTTCGACAGACTTCGCGGATTCGCGTGCTGTGAAGCACGTTGGCTCCTGCAATCACTGCTGAATGAAGCGTTACTTTTACAAACTAGACCTCTCAAGTTGCCCAATGGAAAGTAGGACATGCAGGAAGTGCTGTATAGTTCGGATACTCGTTTGCGGCAGTTGCTTCAGGTTAGGTCCAGCCTTGCTTCTCCGCCAAGTGCAACAACCGCTGCATCGGGAGTGGATGCTGCATCCTTTCACATCACCAAACAAGGAGTCATGAGGCTCCAGCAACAGTCGCGAGGTCGCCTTTCACAGGCGATGGCGCAGGAGTTGAGCTCAACCGGCCTGACTGCTGAGTATCCTAAAGAATTGTGGAAGGGGGAAGCAAAGCTCTGCAAAGTAAAGGTCTTCCGACAAGGCTCATCCATGCAGCAGGGTTGCCAAACAGCAGTGCCAGCGCACCTGTGCAAAGCTGCTTGGAAGGAATCGAAAATCGTACTGACGGCAGTAACAAATGCCACAGACAGGCAGACAAAATATCACAAAAATGGTTCCTGTGGCTGTGGAAGCTGCCGGTCCAGCTTTTGGCGGCACACCCTGCCACAGCAACACGGCAGCTCACCTGGAAGTAGCCAGGGTGTCTGTTCTGATAACAAACAGGCAAAACAATGCTAAAATGTGCAGATATCGAACCTCCGACAGAGCCAAACTGCAGAAAGCCATCTCGGCTAGCATGGATAGAGCTTGGATCCAGCCCCAGCGCTGTGCGGTTGAAGCCGTGACCAGCATCGCATTGCCGCCGACAATGTCCAACTTTAGGTTGGAGCACCGAAGGCTTTTGACGGCATCAATCGAGCTTTGCCAGGCACCGGTGCAGCCTTCCATGGGCTCCGCAACCTGACTCCCGCGAAGCGAAAGCTGCTATTGTCACAGTCTGCTTCAAGCACGCGGCACTCGACGAGCGGAGCAGGGAACTGGCGGCGAAGGAACCAACCTCCACGGCGCGGGTCCTCCAAGCAGTTCATCTACGGAGCTGGCGCAATGGAGATCACATGTGTATATGTATCGAGCAAAATTCATACATGCATGCATGCATGCATGCATGCATGCATGCATGCATGCATGCATGCATGCATGCATGCCTACGTAGATACGCATGTAAGGATGCTCTCGTGATGTGCAGAACCTGCAGCACTAGAGGGTCTTTGCAGGGGAAGCCTTCCTCGTTTCATTTTCTAGTAACCTAAGCCCTAGCTCGATGGCAAAGCAGGAACTGCCAGGGATTGCAACCCTAGACCCTAAATTCCCGGAAAAGGCAGGCTGAAACTGAAACCTGAAAAAGGCCATGACGGCCATGACGGGTAGCAAACCCTAATCCTAAAACAGCTAGCGATTTGATCCCGACAACCCCGAACAAAACAGCATTTCTCATCACAACACGCAGTCCTCGCAAGTCTCAGCAATGAGAGGGCCTGACTCCAGCGCCCAGTCTTTGCCTCGCTTCAGAGTCTGTCAGAACCTCCCTGGCTTGCTGACTCGACTGGGACCTCAGGAACCCATTTGACCAACGATCGAGCGACACAAGCAGAGACCACGCAAGCGAATGTGACGGCGTCCGGGCGAAGCCGGCGCCGACAAAGCTCACGCAGGAGCCAGAGGCTTCGCTGCCATTCGAAGCAGCGGTCCTGGAAGTACAAAATGCGGGGTCCCGGGCCCCAGCCCCGTACAAACATCGCAGAGACCGCATGCACGGCTGCTTGCCACAGACTCTCTGAAGATCTTGCAAAGACTGCTTCCGGAGCTCAGCCGCAGACGCAGGCGCTGATGGCAGCGTTGAAACACACGATGTCCGGGCTGAGTCCGCTAGCCTGAGCAGTCAAACAATGACTATACAGCATCACGACATTGTCCCGAACATGTGCGGACACAAACGGCCTCCGTTTGCCAGAGTAGTTGGAGGGATCTCTCCTGGTCAACAAGCATTCGGCCTTTGCGCCCCGAAAAAAAGCGGGTCTGATGCGCCGATTTGACCAATGCCACGATAGCTTGAAGCTTGCCCGACTAGCAGTCGTCTTCGCCAAGGCACCCAGCGCGAAGCTTTCTGGCATGCGGAAATTGCAGATGCAAAGGAGATATTGTCCACACTGAGGGCCTGTCATGTGCACTTGTCCACTCGCCGCTTGCCACCAAGTCCCGCAACTTGCCAACCGACGTTACAGACACTGCCAAACACCAAGGTGTGATAATCTCTGGTGAATTCCAACTCGCTGGCGACCACCTTGAACCGTTTACATACATTTCGCCCTACACTAAAGTGATGGGTTGAGCGGACTGACCGCCGGTCCGCGCTTCCCAAGTCTATGTGCCCCTTGCAAAATCTAGCTTGAGTCCGACAACTCGCTTGCAGAATTAAACTGCTGCATTCATCTTCACAGTTTTGACCTTTCCCTTCTTTTCTTGATGCAACCCTTGACTTCCAAAGCTAGCTTCACGAGAGATCATTAGCCCTGATCCATTGCCTCGCTGCTCCGCAGCTGACCTCGGAATCCAGCGAAAAAAGCAAGTTGGCGCAGCTGCGCCTGAAGGATCTGAAGCAATGAACCCGTCTTATGCTGCGACATGGCCAGGTGTGCGATGCGATGCTTCAACGTGTGGTGGGCGGAATCACGCCCAAAAAAGTCTTTAAAGTTGCTTGCCTTCGGCAAGATCACAATTGCATACTGCATGTTCTGAACAGCAGCACAGGGCAGCGGTTCCAGGCACCGCCACGGAAAAGGTCAGGAAATGCCGCTTTCTCAGCAGGAGCGCAGTAGGAAAGCGAGAGGAAGTGCCAAGATGGCGGGTCTGAGTCCACATCTTCGAGATTTCCGGGTCTTTTTGCTACCCTTTGCCAGGTCTTACCTCCTGTGTTTCAGACTGCATCTTGAAACTTCATCAACCGCGACATCTCGCGGGTGATGTCCTGCACATGAGGCCAAAACCGGATCCACGTGGCCTCATGGCGCAGGAAGCTTCCCGCTTCAATGCATCAAATTCCGAGGACTTCTGCATCCGCAGCGAGCAATTAAACGCTCGATCGACTGGCGACTGTGAGGCGCACGCCTCCGCGCAGACAAACATCAGCGGGTCGGCACCGGTCATGGGACGTACTCCCGATGGACACCCACAAGCGCTGCCTGAACACGAAGGACACCCTTTTGAGTTCGCCTGTGCCTTCAAGCACCTGGAGACCGCTTGCTGCAAGAGGCGATGCTCGTCTAGTCTATTCAGGTGCTCGTAAGGCTCGGAAAACCTGACATGCTCACAATGTGACCCTATTGCCCCCCGTTTCACGATTGCCTCGCCTTCCGACGTTTTCCGATCCAAAAGCCAGGGGTTGATGGGATCCGGAGCAAAAGCTGTGAAGAGGCCCACTGCTGATCTCAGCCTCTTTTACTGGCAGCCTGGGCATCCTGTCATCCCCACCTGACTGTATCTGACCTGCGGATAGCACGTACAAGGCTGAAGCATCGCGCCTTCAAGGCTACAGCTGGTCAATGCCAGAACATCTCCGATCCAGATGCCTCAAGATGAGGCCAAGCACTGACTGCGACAGAGCTTCATACATACAAACGGCCATCAAGCCGAGTCATTTTGCTTGTTACTGCCCGGGTGCCTGGGTGTCTGGCTAGGACAAGCTGGCGTGGTGTCCCATTCGTGCCAACAGCTTGCCGTAGGCGGCATCGCCGAGCCTGCTGGACAGGATATGACGCCACGAACCCATCAGTGCGAGTCTTGCAATGGCGGGACCTGTCTTCCATAGTCCCGCCGGAATGCCGCACCAAGAGCTGCGGAGGCTCCATGCGCGAGCTCGGAGCCTCGGGCCTAAGGCGCCAGGTTGAGGAGACCCCAAACGCAATCCTTCACAGCAGGAGACGTAGGTGACGGACGCCAAGGGTAGAGTGGGCAGGATCCCGGGGAAAATTGCAGATACTCCAGAGGCAGAACTGTCCACGCCTGGAGCGTCAGCACAACAAGGCTTCAAGTGGCATTGATGCATGGAATGTTCCATGGAATGCATGGACCCCCGTTGCGGCTGAAGGCACTAACCCGCACTCTGGCGGTCGAGCTTGACATCAGAGTATACAGGGATTCCACTGATGGCCGAGGCTTCTGACTGGGAACAGTGTCCTGCAGGCTCACCAGATGTCACGAGCGGGGAATGTCCAGACTGACCGTTGGATCTCCTGTTCGGCCTCATCTTCTTCGCATTCCTCGCACTCCTCTAGCGATGAAAGCCTCGGACCGTCCTGATACCAAACTGCAGGGTTGAAGTCCCTGCGCACATGTGCTGCACGCAGTGACATATATGATCCATGAGCTTCGTCCTTGGCTGTCGTCTTAAGGCAAGCCCGTGGACCTTGCTGCACGAGGTTGAAGGCTTCCTCGAACCTGAGATCCTCGCATGGGACGCAACTCAGCTGAGCATGAAGCACGACCTCGCCATTTCAGAGAACGTGAAGCTAGGTGGCAATCGCTGGCAAAACGGACGGAGAAAACTCGCTCAAACCCTCTGCAGCTCTGCATAACAGGCAGCGGCACCTAGCATTCCTACCTGGCCAGCACCACTATCAGCTTGTTGTGCCTTCAACCTTCCAGCTCTAGTCAAAGCATCGGGATGCAATCGTCCATCTAGCTTTCTGGCTCTCGCTTTCTGGATCAGCCCACGTCTATGCTAACACCAGGTCTATGGCAGGGCATACAGTCTGCAAGTTCTCATTGCTTGCTGTTGATCTACCCGTAGGTCTTGCAAAGTCAGACCCTGCAAGTCGAGGGTCCACATCATGGACAGTTCCGCCAGACTCAGCCATCTGCTGCAGCAGAACATGGTCCACTTCACTCGACCTGGCAATGCAGGCTGATGATTAGACGGTTCAGTGTGCAGGATCTGGAAGACGTCCATCGAAGACTGTGGCCCAGACAGGGCATCCTCTGCCACGATGGTCATCGAAGTACGCCACCGTCTCAACAAATGATCTTTGGAGTGAATGACCCTTGGCGCCTGAGTTTAAACAGGTGAAAGAAAAGGCACGACTCAGATCTCAAATAGCGTGCTGCACAAGTGCGAGATAAATGGTGTGGAAGCACGGGCATCTGAATCCAGTGAGGTGTAGCTCCTCTCTCTAAAGGAAGTCCGCACTCATGATAAGGAGGCAGGTACACCATCTCGCGTCCTTGCCCACGAGTCTTCCCAGGAGCAGAATGCCGTTGTCATCGTCCAAAGGGCACCTCGGCCACAGAAAGTCTGGGACCCCCCATCCCTTACCCTAAATCCTAAACCCTAAACCCTAAACCCTTGCTTTGCTTTCCAAGGGTCTCCAAATGTGCAAAGTTGTGCCTTTGAAGGCCAAGGCCGCCAGGACCCAAGTCAGAGTTCAGTACCCAGCGCTCCTGAAAATTGAAAAGGGCCAGCAAAGCACAAAAGGAAGCCAGTGCCTTCCTTGCTAGTCAGTCAACAAACCATGGTGCCTTGTAAGTGTAGGAGTACTCAAAATCAACGATCTGTTGCTCTGCCTGCGCAGGTGGCGACAAAGGCGGGCATACAACCGAAATTTCTGCTGCAATCATAACAAGAATCAACAGTAGAACCAAGCTGGCAACGAACTGCAACGACCTTGCCTTGACATCAACAGCTGATATGTTGCAGGAAGAAGCCATAGCAGCCCCGTAATATGCCAAAAAATCAGGTGTCGCATGTGCCTCGAGATGTAAGCAACATCCACACGCAGCCTGTGCAAGATGAGCTGATCATGCTTCAGCTGAGGACGCAGCAACCGGCACGACGCCATTGAACGAATCCGGGAGCCACAGCAATCCCTGAGGCTTGGCAGACACCCATTCCTCAGAACAGGTCAGAACACATGTCTGCTCGGCTACAGCAGTCCAATGACAGCACAGCCACAGCACACAACAGCGGCACTGGCACCAAGGCAATTGCACCGCACCTAGTAGCAACCCCTGCATATGCTGTAGAATTTTGGACAACCTACTTGCGCACTAGAATCACAAGACAAACCGAGCACTCAGAACACGGGTATGGTGTATTTGCGTACCGGCAGATTCGTGCACGGAGGCCGCGATTTTCCCGCACCCGGGTTTCGTCCAAGCACAATTCACGCACAAGAAACTTTGCAGACTGGACTGTCAAGCTGCACACACTCCACAAACTCTGAACCCTATGCACACTGATCCCCCAAGCGATAATTTAAACTGTATCGGATATCGTTGAAGTATTAAAAACGCTAAATGCCTGGCGCCCCAACAACCGAAGCCTGAAAAGCCTGAAACCGTTAAACCCCAAAATCCCTCAAGCATCCGAAAACCAAAGAGGCCTAAGCTTGACAGGCACAAAGCAGTAAGACCTCGATTTCCCCAGACCCGCGTGAATCACACGTGATTTGAATCGCAATACTCGAATCGCGCATGAGAGAAATGCCTCGAAAGTTCGCCGTGCTTGAGGCCATGCCTGACTTCTCAAAGGGAGGAGTATGTGCTTAAATCTTGTTGTCGTTGCCTTTGTTTTGGGGTGGGGGAGGCAAGGCCATGCTCATACGCACGTGCGTGCATCCAGCCCTTTGTCTGCAGGGCTCCAGTGTGCTGATGCGCCAGGGTTGCAGGAGCGATTCTTCGCTTCTTCGTTTTTTTTGGGGTCGTGCAGGAAATACTGGCTGGAGTAGTTCACGGTTAGAGGATTACGGCTTCAGCGTTGATGCTTCGGGATGGTTAAACCTTGAACCCTTGAAACCCTGAAGACCAAAGCCGCAGGGTCCAGGCCCACAAGCAGAAACTGGCACCTCACACGAAGGACATTGAAGGATGCTTTCAAAACGGCAGGCCTCCGGCCCCCAACAAAAAATCAAAACGAAAAAACACTCCACACTTGTTGACAGTCCGAAATCCCCGCGCATCCAATGCACACTGAAAGCTTGGGCTGGTCTCCTCCACGCAAACTGGGCTCATCCAAGCAGTTTGAGGGCGATGGAAGACCAGGCAGCAGGCGTGCTTTTGAGCGCTCAAGCCACGAGAAATACGAGCAGAATTCAACGTGACATTGCACAGTCTGTCCGCACCAGGAATCACACGGCTTCCATCAATGTACCCATGCGGTACCTTCAAGCCGAAGTTCAACCCGACATGCATTTACACACCTCAAAGCAAGCAGAAGGGATCTTTTCAGTGTGTTTTCGAGTGGCAGAGATGAAGGCTCCGGAGCCGAGACATCCAGCAAAACAACCAAATAGAGGCAAGCATCTGCCTGTAGAGATACGTGAGGAGGAATCAGCTTCACTTCTGGACAAAGCATTAGGTCCTTTCAGAAAGCGAGTGCAGACAAATCAACCGGTCTGATCATGAGTGCATGACGACATCACAAGAGGAAGCTCCTTCAGCTGATGTCTCCCAGACGGAAAGCTGGCGATAGGAGATCCATCGTCAGGTCCAAACGTGCGGCAATGCACAGGAAACCTGCCGCAAGCTTAAGAGGGTTTAGGGTTTAGGGTTTAGAGGTTAGGGGATAAGGGCTTAGGGTTTAGGGAGGTCTTGATCTAATGTAACGAAACAATTGTCGAAAGCAAGCTTTGTCGTGGCAGCTGGCTAGGCTGTCGCTTGCGTCGCCAAGAGGCTCTGTCGAAGAGTTGCTGGTCCGTCGGAACACAGGTGCTCCAAGCTGCAATAGAATCACTTCATCTTGCTCGTCTTGTTCGTCCGAGATCTGAATCACCTGTCCGAAGCACTGGAATAGCTCAAGCGACGAAGAAGAAACACTTTGGAACTCGCAAGCAATGTAGCTCAGCCCCGCCTTTGCCAGGGGCGAAAAGCCTGTCGGCTCTGCAGATGCGCCGCAGCCCATTCACGGCCAGCCTCATCCCATTTTTGGCGGACAGACATGTCCGGCAATGCCAGATCATGTCAAAACAAGGCAGCTGAGGCCACTGCACCGCTGGCAACTATGGCGAGGCGGAGAGATGAGAGGGAAAGGAGGGTTGACTTGACCCAAGACCAGGTGATGGTGCGCAAATGTGTCACTTCTTAAAGGACGCAGCACAGTGAGACCTTTCATGACGGCTGCACGTGGCCAAGAGCCGGACGCAGCAGGCTCAGAGCCGGCAACCATTCACCAGCTGCCTGACGACAGCACATGCAAGCACACACATCCTCATATGCTCCCTTGCTCTTTTGGTTGCGTTGCTCTATCTCGTCATGTGCTTTTCGCAGGCTCTCTTTCTTCTGTCTTTCACCGGCGCTCTCTGTCTCTCTCTCTTTCGGGCCGATGGCCCACCCATGTATTACCGGCCTCTCTCTCTCTCTCTCTCTCTTCTTCTGTGAAGGCCCACCCATGCTGCTGGGCTTTGTGGGGAGGGCGTGAAAAGCCCGTCTCAGCAACGGAGAGGAAAATTGTTCGGTCAAAGTCCCCGGGCAAAATGCCAACCCCAACTTTTTGTTGGAGTATTCGGGGAGTGAAGAACGATCGTAGTTCGTCAAAGAGCTAGAGCTAATTATCGTAGAATGAGGAACGATGACAAACGTACCATCTCACTGACCTAAGCCATCAGGCTGAAACTGTGTCGGTCCTCTTCCATGTTGGTTCCTGAACTCCTTACAAGTCGCCCCCGATTTACAAGTCAAGTTCGAGGGGTGGATTCAGGAAGCATGGGGGAGAATACCACCAAAGCAAAAACAAGCAAATAGTTTTCTCTCTCTCTCTCTCTCTCTCGTGGTTCTGTACAGATTGTACATACATACATGTGTATGTATATATATATATACACACACACATGTCTATGATCGTCTGTTGACATACATGAGTCCGGTGCCACAACGTCACCCAAAGAATCCGCTCTTGACCGGCGAAGTTCTTCCTGACACCCAGAAATCAGAATGGCTGCACTACTCCGAAGCCTTCTTTCTATGTAGACCGACGAAGTGGTGTGCAGCCCGCAAGAAACATTAGGCTTCGATCCCGAAAGCAGAAATTCAGAGTTGCGGCACCCCAGAAGTGTAAAGTGTCAACCCGCTGCTAAATCTTGAGACTAGATTTTCAACAGCTCCCACCCATAATAAATCGAATCCACGGGTGCTGTTTCCAATAGAAGCTTAGGGATCTGGTTCCGAAACCCGAAACCCCCTATTCCCTAAAGGCCCGTAAACATCCGTAAACCCTAACCCAAAAAATCTTTGGGGCTCGAGGGCTTTAAGGCATTGACTGGATGATGGAGATCATTCAGAAGTTTTGACCCAACTCCCATTTATCGGCAAAGAATGTCCCAACCTGTCAAAGATCCAAAACCGTGAAGAGGAGAAACGCTTCAGTCATACCAACAGAGCGGAGATGACTGGGATCTGAGAGCATTGTTCACACCTTGCAGAACTCGAATTTGACAGACAGATCAATCGAAGATGCGCTTTGTACGTATGTACTGCAACGGACTGTCGTGGACTAAAATGTACTGTGCTACAAGGTAATAGGGGAGTGCAGTGGCGTGCGGGACAGGGTTGCAGTGTAGTGTAGCGTAGAGTAGGGTAAGTACAGTAGGGATGGGTAGCATAGTGTCGCACAGGGTAACATATCGTAGTGTAGCGAAGTGTCGCGTAGCGTTGCATAGGCTAGTGTGGCGGGGCGTTGCGTAATGTGATGTGATGTAACGTGAAGTCATGTATTAAGATATCAACATGATGCAATGTAGTGTCATGTCAAGTCATGTAATGTCATGTCATGTCTTGCTATGGAATGAAGCGCAATGAAATCCAAGGCAGTGCAACGTGATGCACATAGGCAGGTGCGCAGGTATGGGGGTTTGTAAGCATGTGTATGTATTCATGTATGCATGTATGTCTATATGTACGACTGTTTGCATGCATGTATGTGGCCGATGTGCACGCATTGTGTAAATGCACACACACACACTCTCCCTCTCTCTCTCTCATCATGTTTTCGAAGAGCACGAATTTTATTCTCGCAAAATCTGGAACGCTGAAGTTGTGCCTCGAAGGCCGCCAGCACAGCGTTGTAGGTCACAACCTGGGTCGTACAAGTAGAGCCTATCTTGCTGAGCTGAAAAAAGGTGCTGTCTGTCAGGTCAGCCAGCTGGGCCAAGTACGCTTCGGCCAACCGACTCCGCCAAGTCAAAGAGCGAAAGCCTTGACACGAGACAACCCTCCAACCATACAAAGAATTACCTCTTACCTGCAGGGCTTTCGCGGACGGACACTGGTTCTCATTCTGCAGACTACAGACTACAGACTGCATGGCCTAGGAAACCCAGGCTCACCAGCAAGCGATTTAGTTGGTGCTCTCCAGCCACAAGGAACTCGATGAGCAGTCCACTCATTTTCTCCCATTAAAAATGGCTCTGTGATCTATATGCCAGGGACATTGAGGCAAGTTTCACATGGCACGACCATGTCTGAGACATCTGACACGATATAAACGTTCTTTCAGACGAAAGTACCCATGAATTGCAATCAATTTGCCCAAGCCCTTGAAGGATCGGCGCACTGGAGCATTAAGGAGAGATGCGCAAGCTGCCAGCGGCTACCAGCCCCAGCCGCGGTGATGCAGGCATTAAAGCTGAGCACGTCAGGCTGCAGGCCTTCCTCGACAGAGCGTCACGACAACTCCACTGATTCTTCTATGGGGCAGTTCAATACCGTCTAAGGCCTGCTGAAGTAGCTCCAACAGGCGCAATGCCAAAGGCCATTCGCCAGCCCTGCACTGCACAGGCCACCAAGGAAGCTGTGCAACAATAAAGCCGTACGAAGGGCCTGGCACAGGCCGTTATAGCAGAATTCCAAAGCACGATGTTCATGTCAATGTCCTGCAGACTTGAGGCAGCACTGCGGCAGCACATGCACCCATCATAGCGACACCCCCTCAGTTGGGGCTGAGCTCTGGCCTCAGCCGACACATCTTCCAAGAGCGCGATGGCATGCTGCCACTTTGCCACACGTGCACACGCGCTCAGCGCAGCCCCGTAGGAGATCACATTCGGCTGCAACCTTCAGAGCCATGCTACTGCATGCTGCAGGAATGTCCACTAGCAACGGTAGTGCAATGACCTGTTTCCGCCCCTCTGGCTGCTTGTTCGCAAACTTCTAGTGGTGGCTGTTAATTGCATGGAGGCAAGCCTGCCCAATGCAGACAAGAAAGGTGGACCATGGCCTAGTGGGAGCGACGAGGTATGGTGAGGAAGAAAATCCGACGGTCGTCTGCACGAAAACGTCGTCTCCACTCTTTGCAAGGCGTTCATGAAACCTTTACACGCTGTGGTCCGACCGTATCTGCCGATCAGTATGGATCGTTAGTGGCCTCCCTCGACTCTTGGCTCTTGGCTCACACGAATCGCAAACCGCTTTCGAGGAGATGCAAACCAAAGAGTTTTTTTAACCACAGCACTGCTCACACTCTCGAAAGATTTCAGGAAGCTCTTCCGGTGGGCTTCGCAAGCAGTGCAACATCCTTGCTTAGCTTCGCTTTTTAGTAGCATGGTCATGCTGCACATGTGACATCCGCCCGTTGTTTTCACACATATCCTCAGCAAAACTGCGGGCATCACCGATTCGAGCGAGGGTAGTGCACGAGAATAACATCGAACAGGTCCTTGTTGCTGAATGCGCGACAGATGGCCAACAAACTTGCTTTGCAAAATCGTCTGCAGCAGTTCGTGCTCGTCACCACAGAGAGAATTGATGCGACCAGCCTCCTACTTACCAATCTTCAAGCAACGATCTGAGACTGTCTGAGGCAGCTGCTTCTTGCCAGGCATTTGCTTCAAAAGACGGAGCGACTCCAGCCAGTGCTCTGCCTCATCAGATTCGCTGAATGCAAGCCGCTTTGCATCCAGTTCTACGAGTAGAATCCTGGTTGCCAGACCTTGTCGCAGGCGCTGCATGCAGAGCTCCAGACAATGACATTCGGCCTCAGCATCGGATTGGCAAGTGCTGAAGAACTCCCTACTAGGGTTTATGAAACTCGTGTCCTTGGTGTTGTCGCCTCATACGCAACCTTGCGGGGCTAAGTGAAAGCGGAGGTTGGGAACTGTACTTAAGTGAGCCTGCTTAGACCCTCATCAGGTCCTACCCCCGGGGGGGGGGGGGGGGGAGAAGGGTCCTTATGATTGCCATCAAGCTGCTCGAAACCGTTGGTGATCAAGTCGTCCAGAAGCTGCAGCGCCCATGCCCACTGGGCACTCCTTTCATTGCATGCGTTTTTGCAGTTGATGCCGACTCTGAAAAACATCGCGGACAACATGCTGCCTCCGAAAACCTCACTCGACGCATAAATGAATATTCAGGGTTCGACATCCCGCTCAACTCACAGGTGTATGCACTGTCCTTTCACAAGCTGCGATCGCTGCACCATAACTGAAGATGTTCGTCTCTGCATGACAGCTGTCGGACCCTGGGAACACTTGAGTAGCTATTCCAGCAAGACGACGTGCCGTTATGCATGATGTACCGCGATCGGAAGTCAAGCCTTGCACGTCATGCAGAAGTCTCAGCGCAGCCTGCCAATCCTGTTGCCTGCAACACGTGCAAGCAAGGACCTCTACTGCAGAGACAAGAATACTGATGCTGTGTGCAAAAATCTTGCGAAGTCCTGCCCAGTGCCAGCAAGGCAGACGTCAGCTGTTTACTGGTGAACTGCCGCCAGTCTTCACCTGACGGGAATCCTTCTAAACGCATGTGGTGACTGCTGCGAATTCCGGCCATCCGTCCAGCTTCCGCACATGCCAAGCGATGAACACGATAGTGAGCCACCTTCATCAGAACAACCATGCTTTGCTGCCAAAGCCGATGCTGCCATAAGGGTCACATGTTTGTCCTGCACCTTGCTCTGTGATGGCTGCTGACTGCTCTGCGACGTGCGGTCCAGTGTCAGTGTGCAACATGGCTTGAGATGCTTGAACCGAAAACTGTCGGTGAATGCTACAAGACACTTGTTGCTCGAACAGCTATACCCCACGTTGCCGACAGATCGCCAGCATAAAAAAGGGCAGCAGGACAGCCGAGACTTCACCGGCGAACGTCTCAACTCCGTCCACCTTCCAGCTGGCACAGGAAGCAGGCATGCGGCATGGGCAACATCCATAGCTCGACAATTCCTTGCACATTGCAGCTTGGACACTCCCCTTTGTGAGCGCTTTCTCGCTGCCTCAGAGGTGGAGCAACCCCGCTTGCCATCTAGGGTACATCAATGCCAGCAGGCCAGCGCCAAAAACAATGTGCCCTCACAGCACACGTGCAACCGGACACGTAAGGAAGGGGCTCTGCAAGCTTTCCACCATAGAGTAGCGTTAGGAGCTGCATTCCGTAGCAAATGCCAACAACGGGCCTCAATATCCGAGCAGCCAAATGAGTGTCTATGAACTAAGAGCGGTAGCAACGTCTGCAAATGAACCACACGAGGGCTGGACGCATTCGGAAACTGCAACATTGCTGCTGTCCTGAAAAGATCCACTCACTCATCAAGCAACTGTCTTGAGTCAATCATACCGCCTCAGCTGACGAGTTACATTGTCCTTATAACTTATTTCATATCCTACCTCGTAAACTCGTAAACCTAGCATTCAGTGTCATCGGTGCAGCATCACATAGGACACTCCCAGAACTGCTAAAGCCGACAATAGCCACCTGAGCGACGCACGTTTTGGCGACATGCTCACGTAGGTCGACTGGTTCCGTGAGGACCACCGGGCCTCATGTTAAAAGAAGCATCGCATCACATGCGCGGAGCTAAGCGGAAGATCATGGCTGAAAGATATGAGGCCAGAGCTACCACAGGAGACGATAAGACCAATATCGCTGGTGGCCTGCCGAAGCTTTGGCAGGCACTAACAGTCACTAGGCCCGGCCCGAGCACGAGCCCCTGACATCATCCTGAGCCAGATCTGTTGCCAAGGTGTTCACCGCATCAACCTCGAGGTCTCCAGTGCACAGCGGCGGGCCAGCTAATGCAACCCTTGAGGGCCAGAGTTGCTCGGACTGCAGCAGTGCGTACCTCACGCACATGTAAGCCAGCCTGGCAACCACATGTCTGCACAATTAGAACACATCTGAATCATCTGATGACTTGTCGAAGAAAAGCAGAAGACTGATCCCTAGGCCTCTCTCGCTCGAGACACAAGTTGCTGCGTGTAGCGGCCAGGCCTAGACACAGCGCGTGCCAGCGACGTAGCTGTAAAGCAGAGACTCGGAAATTCGACACACCATGACGTGGCTGCATGTAATGCTAGCACATAATGCTTCGAAGCCAACTTTTTCTCGCGCAAGGCGGCCCGCGGCGTGGCTCTGACGAAGTGATAGCGCAAGCTTTCCAAACTGTTTCGGGCAGCTGCTTAAGGCTTACAATGGTGCCGTCTGCAGAAGCGAAAGCTTCCGGAGTGAAAGATCTCGGGCTCGTGAAGCATGCCTTTAGGCCGCTTCTGGCACCAAGACTATTCGAGGTCCAAGGCACTCCCCCTAGATTTGGGTGGTCAAAGAGGCTGACCACGTCGAGGGCATCCAGCCCACAAGGCATTAGCCCGTCAGAGTAATGTCCACACGCAATTTTCAAGCATCCACTGGCAGAGCTGCTGTTCATCATGTCGAAGATCGCGTCCTGCACAGGCACGGCAGGAGCTGCTCCGAATCAAAGCTCAGCTGAAACAGTCGCAGCCCCCCTTTTGACGATTTACCCTCCGACTCCTGCATGCTGTTCTGGAGGGAAAGACCAGAACACCAAATTGATTCGTGTTTATGCTCATACATGCTCATTCTCCAAGTACATCAAAAAAACAAAGTACGCAATCGGGTGTCTGGCGAAAGACTATCAACAGAAAAGGGCGGCCATCAAGCATGGCCTGCCCGTGTGCAAAATCAAGACGTCTACTCATGGCATCAGACCCATCAGCAAGGCGTTAACGTGGGCGTTAAACAGTCTCGATGCACATGCGAGCAGAACTCCAAATTCATTCGGCTGTCTCTCTCTTAATCAGAGTCAAACTGCGTCTCACAACTTCCCTCTGGGAACGTCAAACGCTTCTGCGTGACATCCACTCAAATTTGCAACTTCGCATGAGGTCTCGTTGAGCGGCTTGCACCCGGAACCTCAAGCAGAACATGCGTCCAAACCGGGGGCTGTGGGATGACTTCAGGGTTCGCTTCGCTTCGTTTTGTGAGAATGAGCCACGATAAGCGTGCATCGCCCCGGCCTCATGAGCCCAAAGCTGTGGCAGCCTTGGGTGCTGCCTTTGCTGCCACGGCAGGCGCCGGAGTGGTGCTCGCATACCCACCACCTCCGGCAGCGAGGATGGACATTGCCTGGAGCAGGAGCCACAAACGACAAAAATTACAAAAAAGCACAGCAGGACCAGGGCCGGCCTCCTCTGCTTCTTTGTCTTCCTGCTGGGCATACAATGCCTCAGCAGCAAGACATGACCTATACGCCGCCAGCGATGTGCTACAGGTTGCTGGTCGCAATAATGATGCCGAGTCTGGCTGAGGTCTCTGCCATCAACTCCTTCTCAGCCTCATCCTCTGCCGCAGAGCCGACTGCTGAGGGTGCAGCAAGAGCCGACTGGATGTCCTGTCGGGAAAGCCAAAACGACACCCTCGGACTCGTGTTGCATGCCTGACCTTCATTTCCGCAGCGATGTCTGCCATCTCATCGGTCAGCTTGTCAACCTACCAATTGCCAGCTGTGGGAAGCAACCGCAATCAGCCACAGATTGATCCCCACAATCAGCAAACGTCCATGTTGAGTCGCGTTGCTTGATCAACTCCGATCTTCTGCGTCTGGTTCTTGAGCTGATCGGTCGCCTCATGTATAAAAGTCCACTGTACACGTATTCCTAGCCTGTCATTGCGATGCTCAGCTGCCTTCTTCATGGCAGCGACAGTCCCCGCAGTGATCTCGGCCTGACACTGCACATTGAAAAGAGTCCAGGTTATCAGCTTCACCAGCACGTAGCTACTAGGATGGCTGATGCTTCGTGGGTTCTCAGCCGTAAAATCGGTCACGACTCGACGCTTGGACAACTTCCGATTCTGCAAGAGGGCCCCCACCTGCTCTTGCTGGAACGCAAGGTTTTCCACATTGAACTGGGTGTCCACCTCACTCGATTGCTAAGCTTCCCGATCAGACCTAGAAGAGATCACGAAGCAACCCCAAACCGTTCTGTGAGCTTGTGGCCAACTGATCACGTTGCTGCTCGTACAGCTTCTTGCCTTTGCTCCAAAGAAGTTGGGATTCAGTCCGATTCCGAGACATCTTCCTGTGTCATTCCGGCCGAGTGAAGGAGAGAAATCACAAGGAGAGAGCCATCTGTGCCTTTTTTTGGAGCTCGAGTGTGCAGGCCGAGAGACGCTTCAAGGCTTGCATGGCGCGAGCTTTGGCAGTTGCATCTGTGCCTTGGCGAAGGAAGAATCCCCCAAGACGGTACACACCTCAGGCAAGAACCTTGCACAGGATGTCTGGCATGAAGCAGAGCTATCAGCACAACAGACCTCAGAGGTTATATTCAGCAAATTTCGGAAGCCAGATCGTGCCAACCTCAGCCCTGCGAGGGGCAGCAGTCTGGCATGCTCAATCAACAGACCTTGCGCTTTTACATAGTTTCATCATACTGGTACCTGATGCAAACGGTTCACTCATTCACACAACATCCAACAGGCTCGCAGTCGCCAGTTCCGAGTATTGGGTCAAAGAACCTCTTCGGCACATCAGGTGCCACATGCTGCTGTGCCACTGTCAGCTACACGGCGAAACAGCTGCCGTCAGCTGTGGAGGAGCCCCTGACATGCCGGCTACTGATTCCCACGGGTTCAGTCCAGGCTGCTTTGCTTTGCCACCCACTGCCTCGCCTGTGCGAATTGAATAAGTCCAGCTTACGGGGATTCGGACCGCCCTGGAACACAAAGCGGGAATAGAGCCTCCTCATCGGCCTTTTGAATCTTTGCTCCGAGCTCTTCGATTTTCTGGTCTAAGTTGCTCGCGGCATCCTGGCCAAGTTGCAGGTCACAAGCGAGGGAATGCACAAGAAGACAAGTCAACTTGCCCCTTTGTCTAAGCATGTACTCGTCTGTCTTTCAATCTACCTATCTGCTTGCATGGGGGAGAGAGGGAGAGGGAGAGGGAGAGCGAGCCTGCAAGTTGGGAGCAGGCTTAGGTGGCTCAGGCTGGCTGGCTTTGCCGCCCATGGCTCAGGCAGCGAAACGGGAAGTGTGGAAGAAAACCAGAGCGTAGCAAACCTGCATGACTCACTATTCTCTTCTTGTTTTGCCGTCCAGTGGTGCTGCTTCGTGCTTGGGTGCACTGGCGTGTTGAGTCCAAGGCTTGAACCCAAAGCTGCACATCTGTCCAGCTGGAGCCTGCCCCGATCAGGTAAGCTCCCACATCTGAGACCGCTGAAATCCCGGCCGATCCGTAGTTCGTCTCTAACAATCTGGTCACCAACCCCGAAGACTCGTGTCATGCAGGTCCTGGCAGGCATCTCGGAGGCGACCGCCGATCCCTTGGAACACCGACTGTGCTATCAAGGTGGGCCCCTCCGGATCTGCGGGGTTGCATGGTAGCGGAAGTGGTGCCGACACCAAGAACTGGAGAACGAAGAGACCGAGCTGAGATCGAAAGTTTCGAGGTCCTGACAACAGACCGAGACAACCAGGACGCACCGAAGCCGAACTGCCGGCACAGTTGCGGAACCAGGTTCAGCAGGACTGCTGCGACTCTACAAGGCTTGGTTCGTGGTCTGTCCCCACGAGTTTATGTCCGGAACAATGATGGACGAGTAAGCTCTGTCCCTGGTAAAAACGAAATCTCCGATGGCTGGCTTGCCCTCTCCGACAGCCCCGGCTGCAATCAAGGCGCCCAGCCGCGCCTCTGCAAGCTCCTGGCCTGGCACCCGGGCCAGACGGAGCAGATAAATCAATACTGCGAATAATCATAATATATCATAATGAGAATATTTGTAATATTAGTAATAATAACTACAACACTCACAAGAGCACTTCTGATATACAATAACAAGCTTCCGTTCTTTCGACTTAGACCGAGGTCAAGGCCCCGGCGCTCTTCACCGACCGAGGCCTTGAGATTCATCTGTACGTGACGCACTTCCTGCGCGGCATCCAGCATGCATGACTGTGCAAGAGCGCGCTGTCACAACTTTTCTACAAGCTTTCTCGAACCGCCTACAAGACAGTGACGATCAGCGAAAAGCACGAGCCCTGGTCTCTCAAAAATGGATCAGCTCGAGCCCCCCCCCCTCCCCCGCCCCGGCAAGCGCGCCCTGCTTAGCAACATAAGCAACCTTGGAATCGTACGACCGATTGTGCGGAGGGTTGCTTCAGAGAATCCGCCGACAGTCCCTCTTCGTTGATGTGCAAGCTACGCACAACGCTGAAGCTTCCACCAGGTACGGCTTTCACACAGTTCCCGAAATTCATTTCCCAAAATGCCAGAGCATCGTGCCACTCCTGTGCTACACTCCACATGAAAGGCTCGGGAGCAATCTCGGCAACTCAACATGCGTTCTGGCATATCGCTCGGTACAGCAAGTCGTGCTGCACACCACCCGGAAAACTGTCCATTACGAGCAAAGGCTTCTCCGCTGCACTTCCTCATGCTTCCAAAAGTTGCCACAAATGCGTGTGGCCTTGTGCGCCCGAATCTATTTTCTGTCGGCAGTCTCGACAATAGGTCTGCGAGAAGCAGCGGAGGAACCTACCTCAAAAGACTGCGGTCTACGAGTACTTGTAGCTCTGTGCAGGATGGTACCAAAGCCGCCTTCAATTGGCCACTCGGCTTCGTGAAATTGGAGTTTGAGTTCGCATCGCACCGCGATAGGAAATGTACTGATGCTGGAGGCTCTTCCTGAAACCGTTTCTGCTCGAGCTCTCTTGGGCTTGGGCTTGCTGTACAAACCCGGTGGCCTCTGATTGGCCTATCTGTTCCGGGACCTAGCTTCTGCCACGTTCCCTTGTGATTTCTCGTTTCCGAAGGACCGCACAGCATGTGTGAACCAGTAATACGCTTCAACCTCGAAACTGTGAAGCGATGCAGCCCAATCGAGTCTCCCTCACGCCTTCGGCTGCGCACGATCTCCTTCTCTTCGTGCCAATCGTTGAAAGTTAGCTCCTTCGGAACTTCGCTTCACCCCGGCTCCCTGAAACCAAAGTTATGAGCTAACACTGGGCCCTGCCTGCGAACAGTCAACGAAGCTTGCACTCTTGGGCACATGTGGGGGATGAACCATCCGCTCCACTATGCAGTCCTTGCATCAATCTCCACCCAAACAGGTCTGCGTTTTCAAGCTCGGCAGTAGTTTTTGGAACAACGCTATTCATAAGCCACCTAAGTGCCAGGCAAACAGGCTCACATCTCCGGGCCAGGCGAGGAAGTCATGCTCCTGCCACACGGCACACACTCTGCAAGAATGCCAGCAGAAATAAGCGCGCTGGCAGGATCCTTGACGTCGTCCCAACCAAACACTCCGGCACCAAGTCGATTTTGGGGGCTCTTCTCCAACATCTCCTGCTCCCAACTTCACGGTGGGTCTACAACTAATCGCAGCTCAAGCCACCTGCAACAGGCGACGCCCGCAAGGGTCTTGGTATGCTTCGGGAAAGGCCAGCTCCTGTGCCACGTAGCACACTAGCAACTAGAAGGCAACAGCACATGTCACAACATTATCCCTGAGACAAGGCTTCGACACAGACCCGGTCGATTTGCTGCTGTCTCTCATCTCTCGAAAACTCTAAGATGCGAAGAATTGTATACTGCATGAAGTATTCTACGGAGCATGTCAAAGGTTGATGCCTGCCAATTGGCTACCCAAAAGCTCGACACATTTGGATTGCCCCGACTACATCTGCTCGTTCTTGGTCCTCTGTTTGTGTGTTGGAAGACTTTCGGGGCCCTCTGCGCTCCAGGACAAGATGTCGAGATGCAGTCGGAGGAGTTGTGGCTGTGTTTAAGCAGCCGTGGCATGTGCATTGACGGGTGGCTTGCTCGCGCGTTAGATTGCATCATCACACAGCAAGAGCCTCAGTCGTAAGGGGACGAGTGCGCCCACGATTTGAGCAGCTTTGCGTGTGTAGAACGGTTTGTCAAAAGCCGCAGGCGAGGAACATGGTCAGTTGTTCTGCTGTGATGGACAAGCTTCCCTGCTGCAGGTGGGCATAGGCGACATGGGGAGTGAATGTCCAGCCCAGTACTCCAGTTTCTTTGACTCCTGATTTTAAGGTTCTGTCCCACGGCTCTGGCACCGGGGTGAATCGGATCCGTGGCTGATGGAACATGGGAACTCAAATTCAGTGTGGCATCGCCTGCTTCAGCACCGCTTCGAAGACCTCCTCGCGGCGGAGAGCAAAGAAACATCCTAAAGACTGCGAAGCGAAGGCGTCCGGGCCTGCTGCTCATTTAAGAAAGCTCCGAATGGATGCTGGCCGCAAAGGCATTCAAAGAGGAGCACGCCCAGCGACCAGGTGTCAACCTCTCGTGCACGAACACTCTGACCCCACCCTGTGGCAAAATCATGTGTGGAAACTTATGCAAGCCGGTCACTCAGAACCGCTCTTGAATGAAGCACCGGCATCGCGAAGGGAAGAAGGATGAAAGGGGGGATGAGAGGCGAAGCGGACTGGGCCGTCGAAGCCGCAGAGCAGTTCGTCAACTGTCGGCGTCGGCAACAAGGAGGCCCGGAAAGCCGACACCTTGAAGAGTCCGACGGCGACATCATGAAGTCCATGCTTATTAATGTCGATGCTTGACGTTGTTCGCTGCACTTCGCGCGCTCGCCCGGTACCATCGAGTCAAAGGTGGATGTCGGAATGGGGTCAGGCTGGTCGTTGAGGTTTGTATTGACCGTCCTGTGTATGGTAGTCATGAAAACGCGTGGCGGTCCCGTCGTCGTCTGGCTGCGGGGGCATGTTCGCGATCGAGCACTCTTCGCACATTGGACATGCCAAACTCAACCCAAGGGCCTCGGTGCCGTAGCCCTCTCTTCGGCTCAGAATGGCCTGACAGGCTCCCTGCTCCGACGGTTCCCGCAAACAAACATTGAAGCAGGCCTCTGGAGCCATGTAGTGCGCAGTTCCGACACAAGTAAATGTCCGGCCATCCTGCCGTTGTCAAACCTCTCCACCAAGTCTGAGCTACTGCATACATCCTCGTCTAATCGTTTAGCGATGCCAAAATCGATGAGCTTCACATAACCTGAGCAACGAAACATCGCGCTTAACTGCAGTGCCAGCAAGACACTGGGAACCTGCCTCTGGCATCCACCATGACATTCTCTGGCTTCAGGTCCCGATAAACGATATTTCTGCAAAGGCGGCGCATGTCAGAGCTGTTTTCTAGCAAAGCTGTCTCCGGCACCTGTCGTGCAGCACTTCCAGCACCATGATCAGTGAGCCCGCATAGAAGCACGCAGCTTCGCGCCGCAGCGTCCTTTCGGCCTGCTCCGCGCACAGCCCCCACAGCACTCCAACTTCCCATCTCTAGCACGAATGCCAGGGTTCTGCGTTTACGGGCGTACTTCAGGCTGTCAACAGTGTTGCACTTATAAGAACGTCTCACATGCTTCGAGGTGCAAATCTGCCTACCATAGCGATTTGTCCGGTTCGACAACATGGCAACCCATTTTCGCGTGATGCGGACTCGGTTCTTGTTGCTTGTGGGTTCAGCTCAGACGGACTGTTCACGGCTGATTTACTTCATAACCTGTCGGAAGGCATAGAGTGAAAGCGTCATCAAGTCAACCAGCAACAAGTCGATTATTGACAAAGCAGCCGTCTAGGTACTGCCCGTGCAAGAGCGAACGAGCCGGATCACATCAGATCGGACTTTCATGGTTGCTGAAACTTTCGCATATGACATCGGGTTGCCGAAGTCCAGCTACAAGTGCACAGCTGCATGCACCGGTGTCATCAGGATCGCCTTTACCCATCAGCCGGTGGCCACGAACATGTTTGCGAAGTCCCATGCATTGGCCCATGCATGCATGTCATCGCCTGCAGAACGGTACGCAAAGTCCCTCCCATGATGTACTCCATGAGGATGTAGTAACTTTTCGTAGTCTCATACCTTCTCGCGATCATGCAGTGTTCCATGCACCGTAAACAAGAATCCGCCTGAGAGCGAATGAGGCTGACACACCTGTAGCATATCCAAAATAAACGGATGGTCCTGCACTGAAGCGTGACAGCGGCTGTAACACAGGGAATGGGCGGGCAACCAAAGAGCAGCCACGGAAACCGTGTCCATCTCAGCCAGGAGCTCGCACTCCCTACCTGGGCTGGCTGCTCTCATTGAATTTGAGGGTTGTGTTCCTGTGAGTGTCCGGCGGACGTTTTCTGGCACTCGGCCGTCAACCTTGCGGTATGAAACCGCATCCAGCTGTGCAAGACATCGCTGGAATCTTCGAAGCAGGTACCTTCTTCACCTGCTTCAAAGCATACCTCAGGAAGATCTGATAATTCCGTATCAGGTCTCAACACATGATGCAAATGGCTGAACAATCACCGAGCGAGCGGACCGAAGCTTTGTCCGGCGGTGCTCGACGAGCCTGCTCAAGCGGAGGACATGCAGCAGGGCTGTGTGCGAAACGGATGGCAGCGCTTCTGGAGATGATGCTGCCTCACATGGCCGAAACCTCCAATACCGATAACGCGAACATGGCATAAGTCTTTCAGGTCAGTTTGCGAGTCCTGCGCAACACACAAAGCGCGCATGCTAGTCTGATGTTCGAGACAGGTCCTGAATCTCAATTCTTCGCATGATCTCCTGCACTGCTTCGAGCGGCTGCGAAACTTCCGAGGGATATGCAGCCGCCACAGTGGCCTCTCGCAAGTGGTCCGTCAGAACTTCCTCAAAGGCCACCTTCTCCAGGCACCACAGCTCCGCCTGAGGAATTGAAGCTTTGGGAAACTTCGCCAGAGCCCTTGCAAGGTCTAGATGCCTCGTGGCTTCGGACACGCACAGAGGCCGTGCGCCGCTGCCCCTGCACAGAAGCAAACGGCATATCACAGAGCGACGGTGGCGACGGAACGAAGTTGCTCTCTCCTCGAACAGCAGCGCCCGCTCTCCGAAATGCCCATGCCTCCCCAAATACACAGTCGCGAACTGAACAGGGCAAACAAGACCACAGCAATACGCGGCTATCTGCTGGTCCGTACAACGCTTGCCCTGTGACATGCCCCTGTGTGTTTCGAAAGCCTTGCAAACGCTGATAACTCTTATTATCGTGGCTTATATACCAAGCAGGGGCAAGAAAGGCGGTCAGCCCACTGGCTGGCACTAGTCAAGCTGTCTCCTTTGGTTTCGCCAAACTACCAACTGACAAGCACTATGAAAAGGCTGCACTCAGCTAGACAAAGCAAAGCCCATGCCGGACCGTTGCAGAAAACAGAACCACGCAGTGTGCACGTGGAAGCATGCATGTGTATCTGTGTGGGCTGGCAAAACCTTGTGAGGTCGGGTTTAGGCATCAGGGCAGTCCACCAAGATACCCTTCCTTTCAGGGGTCCAATGCGTGCTTCCATGTGCAAACCGCGTGGTTCTGTTTTTTTCTGCAATGGTCCAGCATGGGCTTTGCTTTGTCTAGTTGAGTCCAGTCTTTCGATGAGGTCGGGTTGTGGTCTCCAGTTTTTCGCAATCGACTCTGTCACGAATGGGAACTCTGCTGAAAGTTGCAACTGCAGCAAGGCTTTCGGATTCCCGTCTTGCAATTCCTAGGACATATTCCGGTCTTCACAGAGTCCCTCAACAAGCGTCGACGATTGGCAGCCTTGCCAGCGTGCGGACCGGTTTCCCATCAATGAATACTTGAACCTGGCCGACCAGAAGACATACATGGACTGTGTACTTCAGTCACTGCGATGAAGGAAAACTTGTGCCTGGCCACTCGCGACTATGTAGAAGGCCGTGCCGATCTCCCCCTTAAGCGCAAGGACAAAAATGAGCTAGAGCTGCACAGGCTGCGAACTTCAGATGATGGTGTTCATGCGAGTACCTGCTCGAAGATAGAGGCACCAGAAGCATAGACCCGCGGCACCAACCTAGGCATGGACACAGATCATGCAATATGCACATGTATACACACACACATATATATATATATATAATGTCCAAAAACAGGGAATCCATGATTCCAGGATTTGTGTATTAGTTTCAGTGAAATTTCATGAGGGATGTATATGAACCGGAACTGGCTCCAAAACCAGGAATCCAGGACCCTAGGAGTTCTGTATTAGTTCCACTTCAATGTAATAAGGGGTTTATATGGACTGGAACCAACTCCAAGACCAGGAATCCAGAACCCTAGGAGTTCTGTATTAGTTTCGCTTAAATTTAGTACGGGATTTATATGGACCGGAACCAACTCCGAAACCAGGAATCCAGGACTCTAGGATCTCTGCATTTGATAATGGATTTTATGGACCCTTTTGGCCAAGGATTTACATAAAGAAAGCCAAGCCCAGGAAGAGATGATCAAATCACATAGTGAGAGATCTATTCGCCAAAGCCAGAAACCCATGACCTGAGAATTGTTTGCCCAACTGCTAGCAGGTTTGAGGAGAAGTCAAAACAGGAAAGGTGCAGACCCAGAAGAAGAAATATGATTTACATTTGAACCACGCTTTATGCAGCATTTAAAGGAAAGAGCTTCAACAACCAGAACTGAAAATACAGGTTGACTTTGAAATACAATCGGCGAAGTGTTTACAGCAAGAAAGCCTATGCCTTCGGAAGGAGAAGCCAGGCTTGGAGCTTAGATCTCCGACTCAGATTTGAAAAGACCGGAACCCAGCATCTGACGATTCTGAATGAAATTGGGAACGCATCTTCTAGAGGACTTGTAGGAAAAAAAACATGCCCAGGAAGAATAACTTCCCATTCTCAAAGTCGAGCCACATTTAATAAGGGATCTATATACAAAAGAGCCCACGTTAACAAGGGATCTACATACTAAAACCAAGAAGAACCCATGATCTGAGAATGAGCCTTCAAGTTTGAATCGGATTTTTCAGGGATTTATACAAAAAATCCAGGCCCAGAAGAGAGGAATCTCCATCTAGAAAGTCAGAAACCCAGGACCTGAAAATTCTTTTGTGAAATAGAAGCACATGTAGTAAGCAGTTTGTATAAATCAAACCAGTGCTGAGGAAAGGGAGAGTGAGGCAGAGGATTCTGGAATTCCCCTTGAAGTCTGAAGTTCTTTTGGTAATGAGAGAATGAACCAATGTTGAAGCAACTAGGCACCCACGATTTGAGAATTGCCCTTTGAATTTGAAAGCCGCTTGGTAAGGGTTTTACAGAGGGATTTACGTAGGAAAGTCATGAACCCTGTATTTGATAATTCTGTTGAAACTTCAGGAACATTTGGTACGTTCTTTGTACAAGGGAATCAAGGTCCAGGATTTGAATTTTGGGAGGGGGGCGAGCATACATATATATATATAATTATTTATATATATATATATGTATGTATGTGTATATATATACACATATGTATATGTATACGTATATATGTATATATGTATATGTATACGGATAGATACATGCATATACATATATATATATAGTTACGTACATACGTACATACATACATGCAACATGTAGATACGATGATGTATATATACTGGATAAGCACATGCTTACACAATATATGTGTAAGCATGTGTGTATGTATCTATCTATACATGTACATATATATATATATATTCCGAAAAGAAATTCTAGACATGATCAAGAGCGAAGAAGAACGTTTCTGAAAGGGACTCGGTGGTCAGGAATGGCAGGAAACACAGTCAAAGCCTGAAACCGAATGCACTTCTAGACCACAAGGCTTCTCCGTGCCCTAGTTGGCATGGATACACCACATCGAACTGAAAAAAGCCAAATCTCAGCAGCGATGTTCTTGTGTTTTAGGTTCTGCGCAGCACGGGTTACCAAAGGCGCCCCCCCACCCCCGCCATGGGACAGTCTCATGGCGGAAGGGGCGATAGGTGCGGAATCCTCGTGACTCGTGCGTGTCACAGGGTGAGGGGCCTTGACTCGTGGCAACTGCTCTTTTCGGAGCGTGGCCTGGCAAACATGTCAATGTATCAAAACGGCAACAGTGAAGGAGTTGAAAAGGCTCGCATGGGGAATCCGCGTGACAGTTGCTGCTCTATGAAAGATTTCGCAAAGATTTCACTTGTAACAGTCTCGGGAATGGCTCGCTTAGGGTCGCGATGCTCGTGACCGTCGTCGTTTTAACTTTCATGGATCTTGATGTTGCTAGGGCTTTGAGCTTTCTCATGGCTTAGGACGCAGGGCTGTAGCGGTCAATTCTAAGATCCGGGGTTCAGTGTGCTTCGTGGTCTATCGATCGTCCCGCATCAAAGATTTTGCAGCCGAGACTTCATGCTGGGAATCTGCACATCAATTTCGGCAGCAGGGGTGCAGTACACCGAGAACTTCTGATTAATCACTGAAAGCTTTTACAATCTCTTACAATCCATCCTGCTGCGCGTGTTGGATTTCGGATAGATTCGGATTTCAGTTCCAACAAGCTCTCACGGCAACAAAAACACCAACAGACAGGCGAGTCTCTTCACCTGGGCCCTGAACCTCAAACCTTAGACTCTAAATGACTCTAAACTTAGGGGGTCTGTGCTCGTCTGTCATCTTATTGCTGCTTTTCGTCGTCTTAACCCCAAGTCTCGCCCAAGGGAAACGGGAACTGTCGCGATCTTCATGGTTGCGGTCAGATCTTGATATCGCCGAGGGAGCAGGGACCAAGAAAACCAAAGCCCAAACCCAGAGGGCGTGATAAATCATTTCGGCATTTCACCGGTCGTCTCTGCCGGCAGGTTCTCAAGGAGGACTTTACAGTTGTACAGGAAGCGGTTGCGGCACAGATCAATTGCCGGTCCCCTCATGAGATCTTTTTATGCACATAAGCGTGCCCACCGTCAGGATGCTTGCGTAAACCTGGAACCCCAAACCCAAAAAGACTGCCCCACCCCGAAATGGCCCTAAACCCTTTAAACGTTCGAAATTCCGACATATACAGGCCCCGGGGCAGGAAAACAAGAGACGATGAGTTGAGTCCAGTATCGTCGTTTAGGATGGCCACGCCAACATTTCTCTGGGATGTAAATGCAGAGCTGGGCGAAACATTGCATCCGATTTGCTGGCGGATCAGCGTGTAATTACCTGACATTCTGCCCCCCCTCAGGCACTGGCAGCTTGACAAGTCGTTCAATTTGGGCACCTGACAGATGCCTCAACACAGACCTCAGTGAGAGCTTGTAAAGATCGCATAAGCTTCATGAGAAGGGCATGTGGCACATACCAAAGAAGCATGCCCAATGCGAGGTTCCGACACACGCCGAGCCTGCAAACAGGGCGTTACGTGTTCCACTCTCAGGCAGTCAGGTGAAGCAGATCGCCGGACAGCAGACAAGCAGATCGGGCTTGCGACAGTTTAAGCAAGCAGATAGCCTGCAAAACCTCCAGAGCGATGTCATTCGTGTCCTCTCTTGGATTGGGAGCTGTCGCTTGGACAAGGACTGAGACTGAAAACAGGCTCAAGAAACTGCGAGGCCTCGGCGCTGTAAACTGGCGATAAGCCCATCTCCTGCCGATTGCTTGTGACGACGTGTGAGGGAGGGAGCTTAAACTCTCATGAACTTCAACTCAGGTCGATCTGATGAATGTTGCCTTGAATGCTTTGGCGGCCCCGGGAGCAGCCAGAGTGGCCAGGCAAACACCAGAGGCTCCACCAGTGAGACGCGTCGCACCCTTGGAACGGCATTGTTTTTGTCCGATCATTTGGCCGCAACAGCATTGAATCACGAATAGATGTTCATGCACTGTTGAAGACATTCCCAGGAGACCGTATGCTGCATAAATTGCTCCAGAAACGGACTACTGCCTGCAGAGAGTCGATGCATCGTTGCGCAGGATTCGACAAGCTTAGAACAAAGTCGCACAAACACAAAGCTGACACCAAATCCGCGCCCAAGGGGCTTCGGGTTTATCCTCTATTCCTAAACCTGCCGCCCATCTTGAAAGTCGCAGAAGTAGGGCTGGTTTAAATCGGCATAAACCCCTGCTTCGTGAAGCCTCGCTGTTTGGATGCCTTTTCTTGGAAAGTTCATGGCATGCAAGGGTGTGATGTGCCCCTGCGCACTTGACAAAACAGGTCATGCTCGCGAGTTGAATCAAGATGTTCACAAGATTTGAAGATTAACATCAGAGAGGAGACCTGGTTCTAGAGGTCAGGTCAAGCACCTATGTCGAGATGGATCGGTCTACATATAGCTTGGAAATAACGTGTTGCGGCTTTGGGAGTGCCAAGTTCGCATCTGCCGTTCGAGATAACCATAGCAGTGCCGAGATAGGTCTTCGCTGGCACCATTGGATTCTTAAGGAGAGCTTGATAATACAAAGGCAACAGAGCAAGGCAACGGTTCGTGCCTTGACCTCCTCCTCAATCAAATCACTGGCTTCCTCCCGCTCTTCATGTCACGGCTCATGGACTGCTGCGAGGTTCGCACATAGCACCTGCTTTTGTTGCAACTCAGTTGGCGTCCTTCAGCTCATCATCTGCTCGCTCTGCATCTCCCTGAGCTTTCTCGAGGCTTCTGGAAGCTATAGTGGAGAGAAAAAAACGTGCCCGGCCTGGGCCGAGAACAATGTCGAATCGAGGTAGTGTTCCGCAAAACCCAGCTCCTGTGAAGTCTATGTAGTTGAAACGGCAGCAGACGAAAAGTGCTCAGGCGACGACCAAAATGGGACCAGTTCCCTGTTGCACCAGCAAGGTGCCATCAAAGACCATGGCAAACCTAAGAGGGCTTCTCAAAAGAACTCGGCTGATCTGATGGCATTAATCATCTTCGAATTGGGGCTTGGGCTGCACATCGACGGAGACTTGCTCAGCAGCGCGGTAATGCTTCACCTTCGTTCCACTGCTTCAAAAACGTGCTCACACCAACAAGAATGAAACATGTGATAAATGTTAGAAGCACCTCCATGGCTTTCACAATGACCTGCTTCTGCGCGGCTGTGAGGCCAGCGAGGAAAGGAAGCTGATTCAGGCCGAAGACCTTGCAGTGCATCCGACTGGAAAACGTATCCCCTGCACTCTCACTGCAATCAAGCAGCCATGAAAGCCCGCTGCAGGCACTCGTCAAGGTCATCTCCGAAGGTCTGACAGGGCACGCACGTGCAACTTCTTCACCCTTGCGGGTTGAGACTTTCGGGTTTAGGGCTTGGTAATACTTTGATGTTCGACTGCTGCTCCCTACATTTTCAGTCACAGTGCCGAGAAGGCCAATTTGCACCTAACAACATAAAGCTGGTCAGCCTAGGGTCGCCTAAACCGTGTGTTCGAAAAGCAGAGGGCTGTCGTGCTCAGTTGATGCAGTATCCACTATTTGCCAGGGTTTCTTGCTTCTTTCCTCTTGGGCTTACAGGCCGGAACCCATGCACATGCCTCAGATCAAGGAGCAACGGAGTCACACAGAGTCACTCTTACATCGGCGGCGTGAGGAAGCCAAGTTTCAAGCAAAAAGCTCGAATAAGCATAAAGGAGCTGCGAGCGATCCCTCAGCCCGCATCACTGGCCATGGACGTCGTGAAACACATGCTATGATATGCTACGCTTCCAACTGCTCTCGCTCGACTACCTGTAAATCAGTGAAGCTGAGTTTTGACGGAGTAGGTGCATCAAAGGTGTTTCAGATCACGGGTGGACAAGAGGCAGCCAAGCCATGCCAGTGGAACGGGCAATGTGAGATCCTGCAGGACACGTCGGCAAATCAGGGGAGCAGGCAACAGTGAAATAGTGAGACAAGTAGGAAAGGTGTGATCGACAGGCAGAGGGTGAAAAAACAAGGGACTGAGCCACTGCAAAGGGGCAGGAATTCTAGAGGGCGAGTGAGCGAAGAAGGTTGAGTGAGTGAGTGGGCGAATGAGAAACATGGCCGGGACGGTACAACTCCACAGTGCTCTGGCCCCGTGACAAATGAACACCTGTTGGCCTTCGGGATTGGACAGTCTTTTTCTCGCAGTATGGTGCCCTCTTTGTTCTGTTCTTGTCTGCCCAGTCCTCTTCAGAAGTCTTCTGCCTGTTTCTATATCTGTGTCCTCGTTTTCGCTCCGTGTGTTAACTTTAACTAGTGCTTGACAGTGACGTCTTGATTTCGATACAGACAGCACTTGAAGGTCACGAAACGAGCGTGCATCAAACACATTGCAGTATACAGAAAGTTACATTCAAACACGGAAGGAACGTTCGACTCTTGTTCATCCTCTCATATCACGGTTTCAGATTGATTCACCCGGTCTCCTCTGGCCCCTCTGTGTCGCTCTCCCGTCGGTTCACCACGTCATGACGGCCTGAACCAGCTGCTTCAAGTTCAAGGACAATAGCGTGCACTCCTTCTCAGCCGTCACATCTGTCCTTTCGCAGCTATGCGAGGAAGCTCAGCACCGGCGAACGAATGAATCACGAGTACGATCCACAAGCTTGGATCAGGCCTTGCTGGGCTTTGCAGCCGTCCAAACAGATATGCCCCGGCACCAATAACTTCTCCAGGTAAATAGGTCCACATCCTGGAAAAGAACTGAGAACTGGATATCCCACTACAGGCACTTGGGAAACCTGGTCGACAGCTCGCGTTTCTTGTTCGGCCTCCTCGTGCTTGGGCTTGGACTGTCAGGATGTGCTCGCGGCGAAACGCTGTGACCCCTCTTGCCGGAGAGCCTGACGGGTCCGTGTTCAAAGGCCTGCGGTTCTCAGCTATGAAGCTCTTGCAGTGTGGCTGGTGACACCTGCCCGTCTTCACGATGAAAATGGCGAGCGGTATTTCCCCTTGCGTCAGGGCCTCACAAGATAATGTGATACCACACGCCCCCGACGGAAGCATAGCCTTGGCCGAGGCATGGGCTCGGTCTCCTGCGTGGAGAACCTGTCGTGCAGCGGAACCGAGGCTACTCGCAGTGAAAAGCCTCGTGGACGAAGGCCTCGTGATGAACGGTCAGACTGGGCAGATGGACCTGCAACAGAGCTCAAACATGCTGAGAGCAAATTGTTGACAGCAGAAAGTCCGGTCTGGGCACTCCATTCGCCTTCTTCTCTTCCGGCAGAAAATCGAACAATCGCACGCGGTCAATGAATTTCCTTCGTATAAATGATTCGTCTGCAGCACCACAAACCAAGAATAACCGGACATCAAAGACACCACAGCCAAGTTGCCGTGTTTCGGCCGCTGCCCTCGGACGCTCCAGCTGAATGGCGGCAGCTTTGAATGGCAACTGTGTGACAATCAGCCGTCTTCTTGGTCTCCTGCTTCAACGCCTTCTCTTCCAGAAGCCTGGTCACAAAAACCTTTCTAAGAAGGGGCAATGCTTCAGACCCTCCCCCAAACTTGCCTAGAGATGGCAGCAGCATCGGCTCGCCAGAGCACCGCACTGGGAGATCCAACAGAAACAGATTGGGGCTGTGTGCCCCGCAGCCTGCACGCTGTATACAGTCAGGCTGTCCAATGTCTACGGCAGGCAAAAGAGCTCTCTGAGCAGCCAACACTCCTTCAATGCCGACACACGCACCAACACCCAGAACTGCCGACAGCCTTGAGGCAAGACTGAGGTTGTACGCAACATGTCCATGCAAACGAAAGTGACAAAGCCTACCATCAGAAACCCTAAGTGTCGCTTAGAAGCTTTCCGGCGACGCTTGCATTCAGAGATCCCTCCTGCATGGGCACATCCAAAGGAGCCCAAAAGCTCACTGCAGCGCTTCTGCCGAGGAACCAGAAAGCTGGCAGTCCTGAACCACGTAGATGCTGTCAGGCTCCTTGCCCTCTTCCAGCAACAGTCCAAGTCCAGCAGCATCCCGAATCACCTCCTGAATGGCTCGAACTCATGTTCGGTCAGGCACAGTTGCTCCCACTCATCTCTGATTCGGAGGTCCAACATGTGCACCACAGAGAGCAACTCGTCATCATTCAACACAGCCAGAAACCTGAACTCACAACTTTGAAAAACTCATGTGTTACACTCAGCCCGCTCATCCGATGTCGGCGAAATGTCTGAGGAGCTGAACCTGTTCGTGCTCAGAGCCGCCAGAAGTGCCGCTTTGCAAGATGGCTCCATTGTCAACCACCTGCTGCACAGACTTTGCGATGCGGGCTCGGGCGTCACACTTTTGGGGTATTCAATGTGTTCAGAAACTTGACTCACGCAAAACAACCACCCTCCTGCAGACAGAAATCTGGCCAGTCCTGTTCGAATGAGGGCAAGGACTGTCTTCGTTAGGGCTATCTCGATGTGGCAAGTTGCAGAAATGCTGATCCATTCCATCAGTGTTACGACGAAGTCGTGCCCGGAGTAGTGTAGTTGTTGTCTAAAACTGCGCAGCGAAAATTATCCCGTCGGATCATCTCATCCAAGGTGCGAGTTGGCGCCGCCATATCATGACCAAGTAGGTTCTGAAACCAAAACATCCTGGTGAAGTAGGTGCCAATTGGTACAAACACCTTTTGAACAACTTCAATGCAACTTCCAATTGTGCATCCTTGCATGGATTTTGTCCTTGCTGGTGGATCGATCGCCCAACTCCCATCGAAGCATTGTGGTTAAAACAAATCCGGAGCGGGACCTGCACTTATCCGTACGTGTCAACACCAATCTTGCTTCACGAGGCTTCCAACTTGAGCCAATAACGTTGGCGACACCTGACACGAACACTGATTTGCAACAACACTTGAGAAGCGGACCGACTTTCCGGGTTGTTGTTGACCACCTGGCACAAGATACGGAACAAAGCTACCACCATCATGATTACACTGACATGGGATGCATGATTTCTGAACAAATCAACTCTGCGGGAGCACGAGAACTGTGGTCATGGCAGCACTTATGCCCATGCGGAAGCCAAGTCCAACCATGCTGCATCGGGAGCAATGCTCAGCTTACCTTCGTGATCGGCATCTTCTCTAGAACGGTTGGTTTATGCCCACTGCATGCAACAGCACCACATGGTCATCATTCCTGTTGTAACTACTGCGACATGTTGTTGATGAAGAACTCGACATTGGCAACAAGTCCAGGATTTTTTGTTGCATGTTCGGACTGTTCCGGCAAACCCTTGAAGCTGCCATCGAATTCGAACATGCGACTCTGCAAACTGATCCACACACGAAACTTTCTGGAAGAAACGTTTTTCAAGCCACCAGCATGGCCGATTAGTGACAAAACGGAACCGTGCATGTTGATAACATGTGCATACTTTCACGAACCGCCAGCAAACGACTCACTACTCACTGATCGCTTGCTCAGAACATGTCGTCATCTCGGACTCAAATTTTCGAATGAAACGCACACAAACCAACACGCGTCCACGACGAAACGAAACTGATTGTGTTTTTGCCGTGCTGTGCCGTGCTGTGCTATTCCTTCATCTCTTATGCATTTACGATGTGTTACATACAATATTTCACACACACACACACAACTAAACGCTCAACACTCAATACTCTTTGCACCCATACTCTTTGCTTTTAGTCGAAACTTTATATTCTATACTGCTCTTTTTCCTTGATCCTCTATGCTTTGTGCTTTATGCTTTCTATTCTTTACTCCGTACTCTGTGCTTTATGTTTTACACTCCAAACTCTCAGACTACACTCTCTGCGCTTTTGGTTCTGCTCTGCACTCCAAACTACAGACTGGACTTTGGACTTTAGACTTTAAATGATATATGTTTTGTGCTCTGTCCTGGAAACTCGACTCTGTACTCTGTACTTTGTCCGCCATATATGGTGCTTTTTCCATGAACAACGCAGCATCAAATGAAGAGTCAACCACACAAATTCTTGTAGGGTTTGTCCTAAATATTGGTTAGAGCATTGAGCGTCTGTGGGATCCAATACCCTGTGGTAATATGAAGACTTAATCTTAAAGATACGTCTAAGAGACTTGTAATGGACAGTGTCTAGTTTACGGATTTGTGGAGAAGTCAGCAAAACACTATCCATGGCGTATATCATTACTGTAAGTACTATGGATCGGTATACCGTAAGTTTCCAGGAAGGGGGAAGAGAAGTATGTGAGAGGAGCGGCCGTAGCAGTTTGGAAGCTGTAACAGCCTGGGATACCCGGTAGGAGGTATTCTTGCGGTTGCTGTTAGCGGTGTCCAGGTACACCGCTAGATATTTAACTTCATCCAAGAGAAGAACGGGAGCGGGGGGATGGTGTACACCCTGGCAATAACTGCAATCGCACGGCAAGTGATGCTGAGGAGCGTAGTAAATACGCTGTGTGGAATGAAGGCGGAGGTGTTCACATTTGTCTTCATTTTATATAAGGCCTCTTCTGTTGCCTTGGTACTGTACTGTATGAAGAAGGCGGTTCATTTGTTCTGAGGAGCAAGAGAGGAGGACTGTATCATCCGCGTATTCCAAGTCCCACAGTGGGGAGGGGATGTGAAAGACGCCTGAAATTTCTCCAAATTTGGATTGATAATCTCGTTCCACGTCATAAAAAAGGTGAGTGAGTACGAAACCAAACAGATAAGGAGAGAGAGGACAGCCTTGTCGTAAACCTTTTGTCTGGGTTTTAACTTCGGACTTTTGGGAGGAGTCCCTTACTACAAACGTAGAATTGTCATACAGTGCCATTATGACTTTGCGAGTATGAGGAGGAACACCCATATGTTGCATGGCGGCATCAATGGCCGTAAAAGTAACCGAGTCGAACGCTTTGCTCCAATCAATGAAGAGAGCATGGAAAGGGGAGTTTTGCCTTTCAAATACCTCTAAGAGGCGGCGGATAATAATATGGATGGGCTGCGTAGTGGAGCGGTTTTTGCGGAAGCCGAATTGTCGGTCCCGAACTCTAGAGTCTAAATGAAGTTGTAGCTTGTGCTGTAACATAATGTTCCGGGGTCTGAAAAAAGAGAAGCCGCACAAGCTTCATCCGTGTTTCCACAGAGCATACCATGTCGAGATCTGGAAGCCAAAGATGCAAACACATCTACACACAATATGAAAACTTCGGAAGCAAGCTTTGTAAACTATCTGCACGCAACATACAAATTTTTGCAATTGAATCCATGCGCGAAGATTCTTGCACCGTGCTGCAGGTAGCTTCCAAAACGCGGCTCCAAACTTAAGAGCGATTACTTGGCCTCAATAGCTTTGCCAATGACTCGAGTCTGTGCCGAACTTGGAGGATGGAGCATTTGTCAGCCCCTACAGGCCATTCACAGAGCGCCAAGAATCAGAATCCAAAACGTACATTGAACGTGATATGTGACAATACAAGTTACCATCCGACTTGCAACGTCTGAATCCCATCGTTCCATGACGTCAAAATGACCTTGCCACAATCTCGGACTTTGACGCAATCCGTACATCGCACGGTTCAATTTCAAAACAGCGGAAGTCCGCGTAATACGCCGAATGAAAACGGGCTTTTCAATCGAATGCCGTTGAAATGTCAGCTAGGCTGACATCCCAACTTCTCACCAATCACGACAAAACCTGAGAGTGACTAATGATGGAGTGCGAACGTACAATAGGTATCAAGCTTGTCTTGGAAACAACCTTGATCTTATGCGAAGCTCCGCTCCAGCACTCCAAAAGCCACTCTGACTGAATATGATTTTCAAACAAGGACTTTAGTGTACACGTTGAAATCCTTCATCGACTTGAGTTCTTTGTTCATTCCAATCTCCAAGGCGAAGAAAAAAAAAATAGCCAGGTGTGAAATCTCGACCACCCTTTGAAAGATGGAAAAGTGCGATCAACGCAGCGCAAATCACTTGTTACAACAAAACAAATGGTATAGATATAGGAAACTTGACAGACAAAAAGACCAAACAAATGCAAACCGAACTAATTTGGACTCTAACTCACTAGTCGGTTTAGACGCTTCGTGGTTTGGTTTAGTTACCAAATAGCAAAGAGAAAAAACAAGTGCCGCAGGTGATTCTCCAATTCTTGAACCTAGAGTTCACTAATCTATGAGAAAGAATCCCCGTGGATGAGCGTTGCACCTGAACTACATCCCTGGAAAAAGCACAAAAACAGAACCAATGCAGGGCAAGCCAGCACTTCTGCTCTCTGAGTTCTACTCTTTCGTCCAAGCATCTACAAGACTCTTGCAGCGCTTCGCAGAATCTGAAGACTTGTAGAGACTTTATTTTCCAAAAACAAAACACAATGAAAGAAAACCAAGAATAAAATAATGATCGGGTTTAGGGTTTAGGTTGAAAGATTATTTTTTTCCACGAAAAAGAAAACCAAAACAAATAGAACAAGATTCAAATTTGGAAATCATGAAAATGCAAAGATAACAAACCGAAATAGCGAAAAAATGGGATTGACCAAAGACTCCGTTGACTTTCATGGCATGCTTCCATTGCGAAGATGTGGGTGCTTCTTTCTAGTGTTGATTTGGCTTGTCCCAATAGCCTTTGTGGGGGTTCTCAATGCTTTCCCCAGGAGACTTCCTTGTCTTTGTACATGCAGCCCAATCGCTGTCAACATAATAGACAATGTTGAAGATCCATCGCAGCGGCTTGGCTTCTCTGTGCATAGTTACGAGTGCCTACCAAGTGTCGAAGTAACATTTCAATTGCAAGACTTAATGATGGAACCTTTGACGTCACAAGACAGAAACTTGACCACGTACGAACAATCTGGTCTTACGAAAGCGGGGCTGCATCCGAGGACCCT